CCTTTTGGAAGACAAAGATTTCTGCATTGCTATAGATAATTTAGTCGATGATCAAATACGTTTCTTACATGCTTTCGTTTGCATCCAGGATTGGTGGGAGTTTCTTAAACGATCCGTTAAGGAAGAAGCGATCTCCTTTTCCCGTAAGAAACGGAGACGGTTACATAGAGATGAAGTTTTCTTAACCAATAAATTAATTCGACTTCGGCAACGTCTAGTTAATGGTGACATAACCGACTCCGATTCTATATCCAATACAGAAAGTCGCCTGAAAGCTCTCCTTACCAAAACAGAAGAAGGAATTATGATTCGTAGTCGTGCCAAATGGTTAGAAGAGGGCGAACGCCCCAGCTGATATTTCTTGAATTTACAGCGAAGTAAAGCGCAAAGATCGCACATCTCTTCAGTGTACGGTTCAGACGGCCATGAGGCCTTCTCTCAAGAGGAAATTCCGAAAGCGCACGTAGATTATTACTCTCGACTCTTTTCCGAAGAGCCGGTAGATGTCGCGATGCAAACCGATCTTTTATTTTCCTTGTCTCGTTAACTGACGTCCGATCAGGCATCCTCTTGCGAAGGTGACTTCACGCTCGAGGAAATTACTGTCGCTCTGAATAAAACGAACACAAACAAAGCTCTCAGCCCTGATGGCCTTTCGGTCGAGTTTTACCGTTTGGGTGCATATCTGTGCCAGGTATTCAATGCATGCTCCCAGGCTGGAGAGATGTGGGAGTCTATGAAAACTAGCAATACTCGAGTCATTTTCAAGAAAGGGGATCGCAAAAATCTAAAAAATTGGAGACCAATTTCCTTACTAAATGTCGATTATAAGATATGTTCCAAGTCTCTTTCTCTCCATCTCTAAAGTTTTACAGTTTATCGTTGATTCTGATCAAACCTCTTCTGTGCCCGGTCGGAAAATTACGTCAAACCTACACCTATTGCGGGGTATTTTAGACTATATTGAGTGCACTAATGAAACTGGCATTCTTCGCAGCCTCGATTAAGAGAAAGCCTTCGATCGAGTTAATCGCACATTTTTATCGAGTCTCTTAAACCGTTTTGGTTTTGGTTCATTATTCTGCCACTGGGTTAGCACACTATATAATGGTGCTAACATGCAAGTCATCGTTAATGAATGGTTAACTGAAGCGGTACCTTTGTCTCGCGGAGTGAGACAGGGGGATTCCCTGTCTCCCTTGCTGTATATTTTATGTGTTGAAACTCTCGCCTGTAAAATCCGAAACAATCGCGCCACAGAAGTCCTTTCTCTTACCCGGCTCACGCGGAATAAGATAGAAAGTTGGGGT